ATATATTATGCTAGCGTTTATACATGTAAACAAATATTAGTAGATAACGAGAACATATCTTCTAATTTTTGTAGAAAGAAAAAGCTATTTTGTAGATCATAGTAAAGAGACGAGTGACACAATTCGTTAGTATTTTTAATAAATTTTTAACATAAATATTAACGTTAATAATGATATATCATTGTTGATTTATTGAAATCCTGACAATAGTGTCCTCGTCAAACAGAGAAGAATGCAAAGAATCATTCGATTTAAACAAAGATATTGTATAATTTCGTGTTGCGGTGAAAGAAACTTTGCATATAACAAATAAAAAGAAAAAGAGAAGAGAAGAAAATGGAAGAGAATTTATTGCATCATCCATGTGGATGTAAAATGCAAACTGAGATGTATAAATGGTGCATACGAGAGGTGCTTAGTAGTAGATAATTTATTTCTTTGTATATTGTTACTTAGGATGTATTTTAGAATGTCGTTAACACTTTTTTCTTTTTGTATCATCATTGAACGAGCGAAGTGAGATATAATGTACATGTAAAATATAGAAAGAATTAATCAGTATGGTCAATGAAAATAAAATATGTAAGAGTGACAGAAGACTCTTTGTATATAGCATCGATCCTTTTATTTAAAAATGTTTTCTCATGTTTTCTTTCTTTTATATTCTTTTTTTTTTTCTCCAGCACCTAAAGATAGCCAGTAAATCAGCATTTACCAAGGTAGATTATATGTATAGTCTGCGTAAATACTATTGTAACATGAGTCGTCTCGAATAAATCACTGGTAATTATATTCACATTAATCGATGTCTACTATTTATTATTTCGAAATTTCCTTATTTTTACGATTTTTTGTTTTAAAGTTATAATATTGGAATACCAAAGAAAACAAAATATTGAGATAAATAATTTTAAAAATCATTATTCTGAAACGATACAATCATTTCTAAAATGTTTTTATTTAGTTGAGATAATTATCGGTTAAATATACGACTAAAAATTGATTTATTTTATATTTTTAAAAAATTTTTTAAAAAATGGTAAATGCGTACGAATTTTATTGTTATTAACTGATATTAATTCAATTGACCAATTAATCCATTAAAAAGTAATTTTTTTTTTAATGTACATTATTTTGTTCTTTTTTTATGATTTTACGATTAGAGAACTCGACTAATTACTTAATATTTATTCCATCCTACTGAAATCTAATAATAAAAGTTTGAAAAAATATTTAAAACAATACAATAAATTATTTCATGTATTTTAAAACATGAAAATTTTATTATATATTATATATTATAAAATTAGAAAAATTAAAATGTCTTTAAATCTTATTTAATTTTTATACTCTATTTACGAATTTTTACATATTTTATATGAATAAAATTATCTAGATTTCCGTTTATTACATATTTATCATTTTTCGTTTATCAGTATTTGTCAAACTGTAATTAATATAGATTAAAATAGATTGAATTACGCATATATAAAATAGATATACACATGTCAACGGTTAAATGAATAAATAAATTACTATATGATTAATTGAAAAAATATGTATAATGCAATCCCCACCATAGATCGGAACCGCGTGTCCAGAGAAAAGTTGAATATAAGACAGATAGTGGCGCTGAAATCAGTTCGTTTTGTTGTCATCAGCCACATTTACACTTAGTTGTTTTTATCAAGTTTTTAGTAGAACGTTTAATTTTGTATTCCTCCATTTCGATTCAACGATAAAAAAATGCTAAGAATTATATGGACCATACACACGAAACTTCCTAACGAATAATGCGAGTAAAAGTTTCCATTGTGTGTTAACACTCGACATTCAGGTTAGAATTTGATAACCCACTTTTTTCGAAGCAAAAAATTTACTTGATTTTGCATTGATCATTTTTTAAAAAATTCGTTTTGTTCTCTAACGAATTTTAAATAAATCAAACTATATGTCAATGTCACAAATTTTATGGAATTTATGTATTATAAAAATTTTATCTTTTCTATAATTCCAACTTTTGTATATAATAATATTATATTTATTATTTTATATAATTTTCTTTTCTTTTTTGCAAAATAAAAATATTGTAATTTATTGTAATTTATATGTATTTAAATATTGTAATTTATATGATTTTAGTTACAATTACAAGTTTGGAACAATTTGACATCAGAATTTGATGGCACTTGTATGGTGTCGCAGGTAGTAATATTTATTAAATGGTGATTACCAGTGCCATGGAGAGGAGAATTAAATTAAAAACACTGAACAGTCACATAACATGCAAAATATGCAAAGGTTATTTGATAGATGCCACTACTGTAACGGAATGTTTACATACATTTTGTAAAAGCTGTCTAGTGAAACATTTAGAAGAAAAGCATACCTGCCCAACATGTCAAATTGTTATACATCAATCTCATCCTCTTCAATATATAAGCTTTGACAGAACTATGCAAGATATTGTCTATAAATTAGTTCCTGATCTTCAAGAAAGTTAGCATTTGTTTATTAATGAAAAAAAATTATATATAATTAATATAATACATAACATAATTGATTTAATTTTTTTTTTTTAGATGAAATTAAAAGAGAAAGAGAATTTTATAGAGCAAGAGGTTTACCTTGCCCAAAAGATATATTACCAAATGCTGGAGATGTTGAAGAAGAAAAGGCAACAGCAGATGCACATGCAGAATCAGATTATCATCGTACTGATGAACAGGTAAGAAGATGATTGACATTATTATATGATTTAACTTTGTAGATTATAATATTAAAAAGCTAATATTTTTACAGGTTAATGTATGTTTGGAATGCATAAATACAAGTTTAAAGACTTTGAAACGAAGATTTATCAGATGCTCTGCCCAAGCAACTATTACGCATTTAAAAAAGTTTATTGCCAAGAAAGTGTTAAATGGAATGGAAAAATATCGCGATGTAAGTAAAAAGAAAATTTATATTGGAATTAAGATTATTAATTGATTAATAATATTGGTTGACTGATTAATAATATTAATTAAATTTTTGTAGATTGATATTTTATGTAATGATGAACTATTAGGTAAGGACCATACATTAAAATTCGTTTATGTAACAAGATGGAGGTTCCGGGACCCACCTTTAAGGCTACAATATAGACCACGAATAGATATTTAAGATTAATATTTGTATGTTCGATTCGCGATAAGAATCACAAAGAATCTTGTACCTACTTTGAATGTTTTCTTATTCTATCCGTGTATTATCCGTCATAGTACTTATTTCACTTTTGGCATAGCAAAGACATTAAATTTGAAAAATAATTTCTTGATGAAAAAGAAATTCCTTTATAGATTCTTAATATTTTTCTATTATATAATAGAAAAAATGGATTTAATCAGATTACCGATAATCATTAATACATTTTTTAATGATACCAATTCATTTTACATACATGACCGTCTCATTGTTTTCTTAGCATTTGAAATCATTTGCTTATTATCTTTCATTGAGTTACATTAACTCATCTTTTTAATGTTTATTATAAATTACTTTCTACATTTATATAATGCATAAATATAAGTAGACCAAGAAATCATAGCGATAGTGAAATAACGGAAAAACAAATTTTTTGTGCTCACATTATCGCTAAATATAATTCTAAATATTTAGTTATAAATATAATAACTATGATATAATCACCTTGCGTATTTTTGTATCAATTCTTTATAAATTTTTAGTTTGAAGATACAAAAATGCCAATTGGTGTCTCATAGATAAGAATTTGTTGCTTTTTTGCACAGCAACAGAACAAGATTGCCCTTCTTCTTGTAATTTTAAGATGTGAATTTCTTTTTATACATATTCTAATTGTATATAGAATATTTTTGACAGAATTCCGATAATATTGCGTGTAGACGCAGCTTTGTATTAGAGAAAAAAGAAAATAGAAAAAAAAAAAAAAAGAAAAGAAATTGGATCCGGTTAAAAAAGATCTGGATCCTTTTAACTTTGTATGTTTATGCGCTGTACACATTCTAATTCGATCTCGAGTTTCTCTCAATGCCGGGATACAAAAAAATTTTATCAGATATAACATATTTTCTCGATGAATTTGATAAAGACAACGACGCGTTGAGCGAAACGACCGGGACTTGTCGCTTGTAGTTACATGAACTTGTTTCGACAAACAATGTAAAGCGAAAAAACGTGATTGTATGTAAATATTCTAGAAAAAAAAGTGAAGTGAATTCGACTTTACAATGTAGCAGCATTTTATGAATGCTAGGGCTTGTATGTTGTACACTATGTGTGTATTTCCATAAATTATTAAATAAATATGTTTTGTACAGTATATTAATTGAATTGATTAATAATAATAAGACAATCATTAAATTAATCACAACTCTTCCTTCATAAACTTAACTAAATTGAATAATCATTTATACTCGATCAAAGAATCGCCAAGATAGACATTGAATAAAATTAATGCTATAAAAAATTGTGCATTGAATAATGATCTTGCTATTTTTAAATTGAAAAAAAATTATTATATTTATTGGTGTAAAACATAAAAAAAAATCAATATAGAATCATGGCATATTTTTGGGAAAGTGTAAAATCTTTAACTTCTTTGATTGATATTATATAATATATTTTATATTTACAAGCAAAAAATCGATAAAAGTTATTATAACATTAAAATTAATAAATTAGTATATTAAAACTTACATTAATTTTTCAAATATAGTATATAGAAAGGATCGTAAAAAATTTCTATAAAACTACTCAAATTAAAGTAGTACGCATGCGTAGTAACTGAGCAGCTAAAGTAAATCAACGCATGCGCGACGTATTCTCAAGTAGTTTATGGTCAATGTGCGTCGAGTAGAGACCGTTGCTGCTGTTCAGCAGCACGGTAAACGTGGTTTTGTTGAATAAATTTTGATGAATTTGATTATCAATATTAATAATTTCTCATATGTCTGAACTACGTGCCGTTTCGAAGATAAATGAGCTTACAAGATAGCCTCTTCTCCGAGGACGTGGAGCACGACGTGACTCTATTTTCAAAAGATAAGAACGAAAAAGGTAGGCAAGCCAAACGATCACATTTCCTGATGTAACGACGCGCCTTTAAAGGTTAGATGTCTACATTTTTTACAATGTGTCTTCGAGTATTTATTCTTGACTTTCATTTTCTATAAATTTTTATCATAGTATATTATAATGTTTTCTCCATGAAATTATTGATCTTAAAGTTTTAAAAGACACATTGTAAAATTAGTTGACATTTGTCAATCACAAAAAAAAAATAAGATAAAATATGTCATAAATAATATTAATTTAATAATTTATAAATTTTTTTAATAATTTTGATGAATGTTACATAGTTAGATATGATTATGTTTAATTTTTTGCATTTTTGTCATTTAATTAAAATTAAGATTTTAGAATTTCAAAGATTTAAGATATGGTACATCTGCTAAAAAATTTCCAACAATTTACTAATATTTTTTAAGTTCCTGAACGAAATATATAAATATTGCGATCTAAAGATAAATGATATCATTATTTTCCAAATCTTAATCGCTATTACATGCATTTTGAAATAATTTCTTTAATCTGTTTTTTTTCTTTGCATATCTCGCAAATTTTGAATATTTACGCTTTTCTTTTTTGCAAGATATTGGTATACTATATAATATTTACTACATAATACTATACAATAAACATAAAAAACGGGGAATCATTATCTAATGTAAATAAAAATGCAATTTATGCATATTATTGGTTTTTTTTATTTATTTTTGAATTTGTTTATGTTGATTTTCTATATATAGATATATATGTTTTTATATTTTACTCGGAACATTATAGTAAGAAGATAATGGGATTTTAAGTTGCGGATATTGATTAAATAACCCTTCATAAATGACGGAACTTGCGTATATACGTCATTAAATAATAAAAGAAAATTTATACGAAACAAAAAGTTTAATAGAACGTATTATTTTCATCGACGACAACGAAAATAACAAAACGCAGTTAACAAAAATGATTATATGAATTAAAAATTGCTGCATATATATATATATATATAGTATAAGTATAATTATAGTATAATATATAAGAATGCTATAATATGTGCATTCTTTTATCATTCAATATACAGTTTTAATTATTTTAAAAATAGTTAATGAAAATTTGTTAATATAAAAATAGTTAACGTAATGAAAATTTCAAAAATATATGATAACAAAATTTAAATATATTTTTATTTATAAAAAGTATTTGATAAGATAACGTTTATTTAAAAATTATTTAAAAATAATAACAATAAAAACAAAATCATGATTATATGCCGTATTGCATAATTACTGAAATCATATGCAAGAGAAACAGCTGAATGATTTTGAATGCCCTCTGCACGGATAATTGTTAATCTATGGAGTGTAACCGGTCGCTGAGCGTATGTCGCTCACGTATACGCGTGATTACGTGAACCACGCAATACTTACGAGATATACAACACTCCATTTCTTCTTTGTAGTATAAGACTCGTCGATTTATTCCATTTTGAAACGTAATTAATCATACAAACTGACGATTCAACAATCGAATCACAAGATTAAAAAGTGCGATATTTTATTTGATCGATTGGAACTTGTGTATTCAATTTCTTTTTCCTCTAGTTTTCATATACGTATACAAAAGAAAGAAAGAAACCGTGACTTTATCATACTACACGCTTCGTTCCATCTAAACGGTTGGCATGTAATTTAACTATCGTGGAATGAAAATTTATCTCTTTCCTAGCATCCTCGTTGCTCAATCATTTTATTTATCATCTAAGACAAGATTAAAGTGCGTTTCCTGTTTCCTATTTTTCTGCATTGTGTGCGCGCCCGCTTATTGTAATGGTTTTCATGCTTTCTAAAAACATCCGCTTACGATGTTATACATAATAAATTCCACTTTATCCGACTCGAATGTTTTATACTGTTCGATTGTAGTTGGTTTTCATGAAGTGTAGTTATGCGAAATGTTAACGAGATCATAATATTAACGAAATGTGATCGAAATAATTTGTGATTATTCGGACACAAGGAAGGCTTTAATTTTAAGGAAACTAACGAAGGAGAAAGTGAAACGTTATGTAAAAGTTAGCCGGTATGTGTTCATCTGACAGGATATACGGCAAAGTAGCCCGGGACAAGACGATTACATTCACCCGTTGACCGTCCTCAGTCCAGTCTCACTTTCAGCTGCGATCATAACGTGTTCTTTTCACTTTTACAGGGTACTCGTCTTTCCACCTGTTAATAACTATCGAAGATACATCATACATCAATTAGTGCGGGACCGCTTTGTCGATCTACACACGTTCTCGATCGGCCAGGGTTCTGCTAGGCGAACAGTAGTTTGTTATAAGAGTGACGTGATAAGGTATCAGAGTGTCTATTAATTTCATAATATCTAATTTAATTATGATCTGAATAAACTTGATGATGTTGATTTTCATTATTTCCCATTTAACGGATCAATTATTGATATCCTCTTTATCTATAATTTGTGGATAAGACGTGTATATATTGACATACAATTATATTTAATTGTAAAATAAGTATTAATTATTATTATTAAGAAATTCTTATCATATATTTTTTAAATTGAATTATGATTAATTAGTGAATTTTGTATGAAAAATAGATAATTCTTTACGAAATTATTATGATTTATATGATTGATAAAATATCAGATTAATGTAAAAATTCAAAATTTTTTTTAATTTAAAAAGTTTAGTTTTTAAAATATTTAGCATACAAGATGTTGATCTATGTGGTTTAGAAATATTAATATTGCTATTGCGGTTCCTATGAAAGTAGAACAAGTCCTATATTAAATCAGATTTATGCGAAATTCACAGACAAGTCTAATATTGTTACGAAATGGGTTTACAAGAATGGAATTACGCAGCAGCAAACGAAAGTGAAACTGGCCGGCTCAAGGTCACATAGCGTAGTATTCAAATGCGTCAAAAAGCTATTTAACTGATACGAGAGAAAATTTTATAAAGTTAACAAAAGTATAATTTTGTTATTTTCAATATTTAAGAGATCCGAAATTGGATGGTGAACAGTGTACATCGAATTGTACAACAAAAAGTATTGGTACGTTGCTCGAGATGGGCATTGAAGGTCAGCGATCACCTTCCGCATCTCCTGAACGAGTACGAATTCAAAGACAAGGTAATTGGAAAGTAAAATAAAAATTTTATCATCTTTTAAAATATAGAATAAAATTAATTAAAATCTTCATTCGACTTTTTAGTGAAATCAACGCCAACAGTTGAAATCTATAGACCACCAGCTGTTAGGAGGGCTAGAAATGAACTTCAAACAAATATGGACCAAGTTCAAACACAAGCAGATTCATCTATTGGAAAGTAAGAAATTATAGAGATATATTTACATCTTTTTTTTCATAATCTAAAAAAAAATTATTTTAATATATATTTAAAAAATTTAATTTCATCAAGAACTTCTCGTCAAAGAAGGCCAGATCGTGCAGTTTATGTACCAAGACATCGTAGAAGTTTAGAAACAGAAGGGAGTCCTCAACCATTAGAATCTATTCGTATAAACCGTACAATTAAAGATAATTTGTCTTTATTTTCTGCTTCTCATGGAAAATCGAATTTAAATATTAAAGAAGCAAGCTCTGATATACAAGAAAGTAAAGAATGCATAGAAAAAGAAACTTTTGATGATGATCAAAATACGGAATTTGATTTTAATATATGTTTTCAAACAGAAACAAAAGGAATAACTTCTTCAAAAATACCTATAGCAAAAAGTAATAATAAAGAACCAATTGAACAATTAGAAAATTTAAATAAAAATGTGCCAAATGATTCAAATGATTGTAATGCTTTTGAAGTTCTTGAAACTTCATATGAAATAACTGATACAGATCACTTACAAACGATTGAAGGACAAGAAATACCTAGCAATTTTAGTGAGAATAAGAGTAGTTTAGATTCAGTTGAAACATGTATATATAATGAAATTAATGTTAATGAAGAAATAGACAGATCTGATAAATGTAAAGATAATATTATTATGACTAATTCAACTGCAAATAATAAAAAAAATATGGAATTTTCAAATAAAGATGAAATAACGAATCAAAAAAATACGCAAATGATGCATCACAATATGGTGTCAAACGTGTTAATTATCTCAGATACTATACAAAAAGAATCACAAGCTGTTAAAGAAGTTATTCCTATAGTATTACCGGAGAAAAAAGTAAAAAAAATTGTACGACAAAAAAGTAAACCTGCACCACCACCTTCTCCACCTATTAAAAAAATAAATAGAGATGAATGTGATTGGGATAGTTTATTTGATGATAATGGTGACTGTTTAGATCCAACTCTCATAGAAGAGGTAAATATTTATAAATATTACTATTTTTCAATTTAGAAAATAAAGTTATTTTTATTTGAATTACTTTTATTTTTAGTTAACGTCAGCTGTTGGTAATGTTATGATAGAACAACCGAAGAATGATTATAAACCATATACCAAACATATTGAAGTATCTAGTGATGAATTTGCTCATGTGGTTGAAATTTATAATTTCCCATCAGAATTTAAAACCAGCGATTTAGCAGCTGTTTTTAGTCCTTTTAAAAATGGTGGTTTTGAATTAAAATGGGTTGATGATACGCATTGTCTTGGAGTCTTCAGTAGTCCTCTTGTTGGTAATTAGAAACGAGTTAAAATTACATCAACATATGACTAACAAGTGCTTACTCATCAAATCGTTTTTAGCTGCCGAAGTATTGGCATCGGATCATCCATTTGTTAAAACAAGACCCCTAAGTGAAGCCACGGCTTTAAGCAAAACAAAAGCAAAAAGAAGTGCAGAATTTTTACAACCCTATAGAAGTCGCCCAGAAACTTGCGCGGCATTAGCAAGACGATTAGTTACGGGTGCTTTAGGAGTGAAATTAGCCACTGCTAGACAAGAACGCGAACACGAAAAAAATATATTACGCGAAGCTAAAGGTAAAGATACTAATTATATTGAAAAATTCTGACAATATAAAAAAAATTTCATAAAAATATAGAAACAAGATATTTTCTTTTGTTTTTAGAAAAACGTAGATTAGCCAACAAACAGCGAGAAGATGTCTGGGAAGGTATTATTCCCGAAAAGTAGCATTATTTGTTGAAAATGTAATATTCATACATTGAGAATTACTTATATTATTATGTGAGTGTTTTATGACATTTACATGCATTTGTGCCTTACTCATCTATTTTCATTTTTGACAAACTTTCTTTTGTCGAACTGATTTGGCGATTGGTTTTGGGAACACGGGATATTACTTGCCAATAGATGAGTGTGGCATGACAAAACTACCAACGGAAATATTTACTTAGGACTGGTAAAATAAATTTCCAGTGCTTGTTTATTTTCTACATATTATGCATATCACAATTTTCAGACCAGAAAATATTGGAATAAGTGTGCCTGTTGTACTATTTTCTAACAGAAGGGTATTAAGTATTTTAAGTAAACATGTAGATGAAAGCGATTTATAGCCTTGACATATTAGAAAACTATATAAAAACAAACGTAGAAGCGTTTTATGATATATACGATTATTCTTACCTCGATAGTTGCCTCTGTTATATAAATTTATATATACACCATAAACAATACTATGTTGTGCAATGATAATACAAGACAATAAATTAGGATGGTAGAGAACAAAAATATCCTTTTACACATGCACGCGTGCGTGCACATATATCTCATAAGTGTCAATGAGATATAATCAAATTGTGTCTTCATAGAATTATGATTTTACAACATGAACTATATTGAAATACAATGTGGCATTTTATTATTATATGCAACATAAGATTATTATAGTTACATTTGTAGTTAAACAATTATTATGCCACTTATTATATTACATGTACATATATAAATCTGTTATATATATGTTAAAAATTTGACGCACAATCACAATCTATCTATTTACTTACATAAATTACAGATTTTTTTAAAAGAAAAAAATATGAATCAGATTGTATTTTTATATACAATTGTTACCAACAGAGGAATAAAGACATGTATCGCCAAATCCTAGTCAATGTATGAAAGAAACATGTTATCTATATTGTATATTATATTACTGAATTTTGTCAGAAATTGACAAAAGGATTAAAAAAAGAATAAAAATATTTTATGTACTATATCTTTCATGTATATTTCCAATCCACATAGAACTCAATTACATTTTAATCTAATTGCAAATTCAGAAGTCAAAAATTTACACTGATTAAATGATACTGATATAAAATACATTCATTCAAAAATGGCAGTATTTCATACTGTACATTTGTACAGCGATAAAAAATACATATATGTATAAATTGAAAAAGTTATTTGATTCATTAAACAGATTCATTATCATTATTCAATCATCCATGTGTAGCGGTATATATATATATACATATATTTCGGTCGTCAAGTATAACACAAGTATAAATCATTTGTATCACTTTACCACTTCCCTCCTTTTTTTTTCTTTTTCTGCTGAACTTTACGTTGCTGTTGTCGTGGACCAGAACTTTCTACTGCTGGACTATGTCGTGGATTAGGGGAAGGTTTTGCATTTGTAGGCATTTTAGTAATATCACTGTAATTATAAATAATGATAAAAATTATTTACTTTTTCTTTAATTAAAAAATATATATTTGTTTAATACATACTACATATCACTAGCTCCAGTTGCAGCACCTTGGGTGCCTTTCATTGCAGCATCTCGATTTCTTCTATCTCGTTTCTTTCTAAATCCACTACGTTCGTGTCTAGGTAACCATCGCTCAGGATCAGGTGGAACATTTGGATCGTAATTCTTAGGCAATTTTCCTTTACGTTTGCGTTTCTTCCGTTTCTTTTGAGTTACATCGACTGGTTTACTACAAAATATAATTATAATTATCAATTAATATTTTAACGTTGAGATTATATTAAATACTTACCCAGGAGATGGTTCTATTTTTTTCTTGATCATTTTGGTACCAATTACCCAATTGCTACTCTCTAAAGCATCAATATCGGTTGTTTCATATAAATCATGTAGTGGTGGTAAACGTTTTGATAATAATTGTGCTTTTTCAGGACAAAATTGTACATAGGCCACCACTAATTGCGCTAATGTTTTGGTATCACAAGGCGAAGCATCTACCATTTCTTGTAAAATATCAGCTGCCATTTTAATTTCTCCTCCGCGTAAATAAAAATCAGCGGCTTGTCGCCATAATTCTCCTAAATTAGCAGTAGTTTCCTAAAAATAAATACTAGATAAAAAATAATATTGAATTAATTAAAAAAAAAAAAAAATTAAATCAAATGTGCCTACTTTATTTTTCTTGTAATAATTAACCGCATTTTTAAGAACAGCTGACGCTCTTTCACGATTATTCTCAGCCATATAAAGAGTTACAAGTGTACTAACTATGCCAGGTAAAGATTTATCTCTTTCATTTAAATTTTCAAGAACATTGATTGCTTCTTGTCTTTCATCTTGACTTAATAAAAGTTGCACACAAACTAATTTCATTTGTAATTCTTTATCTCCAATTGCATATTGTGTTAATAAATCTGTTGCTTCCTTTGCTTTACCTTCTTTACCAAGTTGTACTGCTTTAACAAACATTGCATCTACAGCAAGTGCAGGATGATCTTTAGCAAGTTTATTACAAAGTTGTTGACATTGTTCTGCCTATATAAAATAAATATATAAAATATTAAATATTAAATAAAAATAATTATATGAACAATAGAATAATAAATTATTGATTAAATTTCTACCTGATCAGTATATAAAGCTAGCAAACACTGATTATAAGCAATATTTCTTTTCTGTCTAGAAGTTAATTTATATTCTAAGCTATCATGAGTAGCGCTTTTCATTCTCTTTTTGCTATCAAATACATTCTGATCTTTATTGAGACACACAAGATTATTGCTTGCAACTGCTACTAAAGCTATATCATCTGGTTTTGCTTTTAAAGCAGAAATGTATAATGCTTGAGCTTCTTTCTCGCGACCCTGAAGTTGAAGACAACATCCAAGTTGAACTCTAATAATTCCCAGTTCATCTTCTATTTCTTCTTCTGCAACTCCATCTTCTTCTAAACCTTCTTTACACATTTTTTCAGCTGTTCTAAGTTTCTTCTCTGCCTCATTTAAAACAGCTTTATCACCTTTGCTACCTTGTGCAATTAAACAACAAGCTGCATTATATATTAACTCATATGTATCTTCACGTAGTACAGGAACTTCTAAATTCTGCCAAAAAAAATAATAAAGAAATAATAAAATATATCTAAATTATATTATAATCAAAAAATAACTTATTTTATATTTAATAATATAGATATATTGATAGATTTAGAAATGTGTTAAAAACTTACGGAACCCTCAATCGTTAAATTTACAACCACTGCTGCAAGATTAGCTTGTCTTTCATCTTCATACTCATCATGAGAATTTTTTATAATATCTCTATATACAGAGAAACATTCTTCATATTTTTCAAGTCTATATAATATTTGGGCTTTAAGTTCTTTGAGTTTTAATGAAGGATTTGGCAAAACTTCCACTACTTTTAAAGCTTCATTTACTTGATTTAATCGATACAAACAATATGCTTTCTCAAAATCTAAATTGCTATAAAGAAATATTTATTCATCTTTTAAATTCTATAAAATATTAATTAAAACGAAAGCTTTAATTTTAATATAATAAAGAATACATACCTTGCTAATTTTGGATTCTTAGATATAAATTGGAGTGCATCATTAAATTTAGATAGTTGAATGTGACAAATAACTTTACAACGGAAAGCAGCTTTTTCATCCGGGAAAGTATATAAAACTAAAAAATATTCTATTTTTGAATATGTTATTTCTCAAAAATAGGGCACAGGTTATGTTGATAGTAAATTTTTGAGATTATGTACAATTCGTAAATTCACAAAAAACTCACTTTTATTGGCAATTTTTATGGCCCTTTCATATTCTCCATTTTGACCTAATTTATTTAATTCTCCATATAATACAGGAAGATTGTTTTCTTTTGTAGCCATATTGTTCACTTTGCGATCATGTCCAACGTGGAACTAATTTGACTATCGAATGCAGTATAATAATTTTTACAATAATTCTTACAATAAGAGTTATTATTTATAAAGTGTATTCTTATAAAATATATATATTTTTTTCTTAAAAAATTAAATATTATTTATATATGTAATAGAAATATCAATTAAAATAATAAAAAGAAAAATACATTGATTTAAATAATTTATTGCAATATAATTTAATTTAATATTAGATTTATTTATTTCATAATATTATCTTATTATTTATTTAATTAACTATTTAAAAATTATTAAAAAAGAAGAATTATTCATTATTACTAAATTATAATTTGTGTATAATTAATGATGTGTAAATTTAATTATATTATAACATTTGCATTATATACACATTGGAATTATAATAAAAAAAAATATTTAATTTAATTACAAAAAAATATAATATATAAAATATATATGTATATTATATATAATACAAAAAAATAACTAAAGTTTTTATATAAATTACAATTTATTCCTTTTCAATTTATTAAAATAATATTAATAATATTATAATCATCATATTAAATTTTTATATTTAAAAAAATAATTATATTTTTACAGTTATAATTTTTGAAAATTGTATAATTCATAAAAATCGAAATATCATCCAGCGATAAATCGTTAAAATTGAAATATTCTAATTTTTAATTTTTTACTAAAGTAAATTCTGAGTGCAAATTAAATCTTAGATTTTAAAAAATAATTTAAAAAATAATTTGTATTTTCTATTTTCTAAAACTTATATATAATAATATATAATTTTAATTTGACAAAAAAAAACGTAAATAGCTTCATTTTATTATAAAAATAATGTTTGCGCGATTTTTGGTGAGATTAAAACTCAAAATTTTAAGGAAACTGTTTTAATATTATTTTTTATAATTTTGGAAATTCCTATACTTTGATTTAGCTGAAACTTAGAAATAATTTTTTTTAAAATAAAAATAACATTTGCGGAAAAATTTTTTAAATCAAAAGTTAAAATCTAAAATATTACGAAAAAAACCTTATTAGTGTAATATCAGCGTTATCGATCCAACATATAGGATAAGATTATAATACAGATGAAATAGAAGAATCTTATTTTTATATCTAGTTTGTTATAACGAATCCCAACATTATTTAAATCATAATAAATTTATTTAAATCATAATAAATTAATGACGTGTGCTGCGGAATAAAAAAAAATACATATCAAATCTATAAAAGTGATAAAATCTATAATGTATAATATAATAGAAGCACAATTTTTAATTTTTGACAAATTTAATTTTATATATGTATTATATTTAAATTATAGCATGCTAGATGGCATAAGAAACACTTTGATCTATTTTCAAAATTGACTCAGTCGATATTTTAGAACGTGGAATATAAATATAGTTTAATGAATAAATAATAAAAAAAAATTAGACGTTATTTAATCATATTAATAATTTAATAATTTAATAATTAATAATTTTTAAATATTTTTTATTAAAAATTAAAAAATATATATTATATTATGAATAAATCATTTTTTTTATTCACATATTTTGATAATTTTTATAAATAACTAAATGTTTAAATAAATCCTAATTTTTTTATAGATTTATATTCCGCAACATACTTCATTAACTTATTTATTGATTTAAATAATGTTGGAATTGGTTATAATAATAAATATATATCAATGTAATAAATATTAATAAATAATTTATTTAAAGTTTCATTAAATAATTAAAATATATAATATAAAGAAATTATATTAATATTAATAACAATTATATTAATAATTTTTTATTTAGATGTTTAAACAGTCAGATACTATTTTAATAATCTCATTTTCGCATCGTATCTTGAATAATATCTATCATTTCTAAAATTTGAATAAAAAATTAATTAGAAATATTATTATTTATAATCTGTTTCGTTATTTAAATCGTTATTTAGAAACGAAGTCAGTCAATAATATTTACTGCAAATTGATTCTGAAAATAATTTTATATTTATTATTGAATATTATAAATTTGTTATAAATCTTTTTTAGAATTGTAATAATAAAAATGTAATAAGAAATGATATAATCATTATACTAATAATAAATTAAATTCAATGAAAACCAATCCAAATGCATTTGATCGATTTTTCTACGATCGGTAATATAATTTATAACAATGTTATCAACTTTACCAACTATCACTTTCATACATATTCTTTAAATTCCCATGAAATGACAAATCTATTTTATACTTTGTCAATAATTCATGTGCAATTAAAATTATAATTCTAATTTAAAATATTACATATTTTGATACTTTTTATAAATAATGGAATAATTTGTTTCGGAATAAAATAATTCGTAATTTTAATATAGAAGAATTTCGAAAAAGATTACGAAGTAAAAGAATTTGGAAATAGATAATTACATACCAGAGCAAGCAATTAACAAAAGTATAAATATTTGGAAAAACGGAGAAATAACATAATTCAGTGGACAGGTAACCAAAAACTTAGACGTTAAGAAATCTAAGAATTAATTTATATTATCGATAATCAAAAATATTATTATTTACAATCTTTTTCGCTATTTGCAACTTACATTGATCAATGAATTTTCAATTTTTCAATTGTCTAAAAAAAAAACATTAAATAATTGCGTATTATTTTATTCCGCAACAATATAAGAAACGAATCTTATCGTATTTTATTTATTTTATGTATTGCATAATAAAACATTTTCATCATGCGAATATATTACACAAGAAGGAAAAATGCATTTATAAAAAAATCATATCATTTTCTATTTCATTTTAATGATTGATTGCTTGGTGTAAAAAAATGTGGAAGGCATTTGAATAATAAAGATTTATTGATAGTAAAAAATGAATTCCTTGTAATCTATTATAAATCTAGTTTATATAAATGTCTGTTAATCAAGTATAATAAAGATAAAAAAGATTTATGTAAATCCAGCAAATATTATTCGCTTATGTAAGATTTAATTAATTGTAAATAATAATAATGAAATTCTAATTATTGTAAAAGAAAAGGAAAAATAATTACATGATATCACAAAAAAATATGATTATTAAAACGCAAAACGAAATTTTGTTTTCGATGGAATTTGACATTATTATTGAATTACATTAGAATTTCTGATATCATTTAAACAACATTCTGTAGAATTTGCAAATGATATATATCTACTTAGACGTGAAGAAGTTTTGAGAATAATATAGGAATATTAGAAGAGAGAAGATATTAGAAGATATTATGACTTTAGATTATAAAACAAATGTAATTGTATTTTGAACATGTAATTGTATTTATACAGTATTTTTGATTTCTAATCAATACAATAATTTTACAAATATTTATACAAATTGATAAATTCAATTTCAATTTTTTTATATCGATAATTTGATATTTTATTTTAGATATGAATTATTAATATATAATATCTTTTCAGAAAAATACAAATTATTTTTTAATTAATAAGTGAATTATAAATATGAATTGGAGAGTGAAGTGAAAAATGTGATTAAATAATATAAGAGCATCAGTTATTAAGAACCAATTGATATATATTAAATGATATAATGATATTGATATTAAAATGCTAATTTATTTTCTTATAAAGTTTATTTTAGATTTGTGATCAGAAATCAGATAAGAATATTGTAATTACATATAAATCATAAAATTAATAATATAATTTTCACATTCTGTAATAATAACCATTACAATTTCATTTAAGTTTCATAAAATCTATTTTGTATTTCGTCAATGATCTGTATTGCTATTAAAGTAGTTTTAACATATAAAATGTTATATATATTGATAATTTTTATAAATAACAAAATAATTTGTTTCAGAATAGAATTCGATAGTAATATCCTAATTTACTTTTAATGTAGAAAAATTTTGAAATATATTATAAAGTAATAAAATTTGAAAGATAATTATGCAGATCAGACAAGAAACAATAAGATAAAAATTTGACAAAACGTACAAACGTAGGAATAAAATTATTTCGTTAAGTTATTTTAATAATTTATTGTTCAAAACAAAATAATAATCGCAAACAACTATAATGGCAAACGGCGACGAATGTTATATGAAAAAGAGGTAGTTAGAGGTAGTAATAGTTATGAATAAATTTTATACAAGCATTTTAATAAGTAGTAACATAAAGCAATTGTATTTATTTATTTGTACATTTTTAATTATTTCCTTTTTCAATGGGTTAATGCTCAACTCTGGTAAAAAAAATTAAACGTCAAGTAATCGTTACATTAATTTATTAATATAATATTCTTTAAATATTTTCTATAATCAAAGTAGAGAAATATATCGTGTTATAATAAACCTTTTTCTTTTTGATATTTGAACATTTAGGTACTTATTATTTTATTCAATGTTATAAACTTTTCAAAACATTTCATCAACTTACTAGATTTTAGATATATGTTGGCATCAGCTGAAATGATAAATATATGTCGATGTAGTAAATAATAGTAAATAATTGTATTTTATCATTAATAATCTTTTACTTACAAATAGATGAACAATCGGTGACTATTTTGTTAACATCATCTTCGTCAAAATATAATCGTGCTATTTCTCTGACCACAACTTCGTTTAATTTTCCATCATCGTCATACTGTTGCCAAAAAAATGATAATAATTTTTATTTTATTTTATACATATGTAAAATTATATTTAAACAATTTTATTATTTATACTAACAGCGTTGAATTTTTTTATTAAACATTCAGAATAGAGTTGAACTTGCTCATCTTCTACATCAATGATGCCGTTGCGAAAATCATTTTCTTTCTCTGAAATTAGATTAAAATAATTAATCAGAAATATTATGATTCGTATCTCGTTTCATTAATTGCAATTTACGTTCATCAATGCCAGTTTCTATCCTGCAAATTGGCAACGTAGCACGTAGCGCAATTTTTAATTCTTCGGGTGTCTAAAAAAGATGATTAAAATATACATTATGAAAATAGTTTTTAAGAGTTAAATAAACTGACTTTTATTAAATATATAATTATTCTTAAAATTCTTTGTACAAATATATTTGTTTTAATACATATATGTATTGTTAATTAATTAATTTTCCATTCATTTTAAATATTAACAAAATTTTTATACCATCTTTATTTACAAGAATATTATCATATAGTATTAAAAAAAAAAACACTATCGTTTGATTAAAATTAAAAATAATAATATTCCACATCCTTCTTTGTTATTATTATTTAGAAAATTACTTAATTATTTAGGAATTTCGAAACAATATTTAATAAAAACAGTACATAAAAATTAATAATAATATTCCAATTTTCATTATCGATCTTCACGAAGTAAAATAAAAAGTCAATAATTCATTGCAAAATTGGTAAAATTAATATATTATATTATGAATAAATCGAATATATAAGAGATTAAAAATAAATTCGACATAAAAATTCTATTATAAAATAAGTAATTAATAACATAAATGAAGTATCAATCCAAATTTTTACCAAAATTTTTCATTTAATAGCGAAAAAATTTTTTCTTAATCAGAATAGCAAAATATTTTTTTATATTTTTAAAGAATACGTAACACATTAATCTTGATTCTATTTGAAACTGTTTTAAAATGTTATAAAATATATTTTAGTCATTTTAAAATTAAAATTAAGAAATAAATAATTCGGATTAATAAATTATTTCAAATTAATTGTTTATTATTTTATAAAACTCGGACGTAGGATAGTTAATAATATTATATAGGAATTAAAGGAAAAGTGGCGTTAAATATAAATTTAATGTAACAGGTTTATGTTAAAAAGAGAATAAATTTTTGCAAAGATATAAATTGTGACAATTGCAAATATTTTTAGACACAAATATAGAAATAAAACTTAAATAGAGATGATAATTATAAATTATGCTGAATAAAATTAAAATAAAATTACAAATATTTGAACGGTTATTACCAATGCACCGACGCAAACACAAATAGCAAAAATAATCACGATCGTTTTCATTTTTCTTAAAGATATATTGATTTCAATTAAACAAAATTCAAATGTTCTTGAAATATATTTAACAAGAGAACTGAACGAACATCGAATACACGACGTCTTTTTATACTCTAATTTTTACCATCACTATTTCTCTCTCAGAATTTGTCTTCTCTCTCTCTCTCGATTATTAATAAATGATATTTATCTAGGAAAACTTATTTATACGTTCCAAGTATATATCAAATTATGTATAGGTTATATAAAAATATCTGAAGATTAAAAATAAATACTGACTTAAATGAAAAAAAAAATTCAATCATTAATTTTTTTTCTTATTTTCAGAATGTAAAAAATGGAATAATGAATGTTAGTAGAATTTGATTTAAATGATCATTTCCTTCCATTTATTATTCTTTTCCAAATTAGTTTTCTTAATTAGGATATTTGAACAATTTTATTTATTAATGAATAATTTTTTGTTCTTAGTAAAAATTTTTATTTTCATAAGTAAATAGATCATAATATAGATAATTTTAAGCAGACATCGATATCTGATTGACTTGAAATTTAAAGGAGATTATAATTTCGAAATATTATAAATAAATTTTCTAATAATAACAGCAACAACTTTTTACAAATATCTCTGTATACCCATACATGAAAATGATTAAAATGATTAAAATAAATAGATTAATTGATCCATCAACGATTCTTTTTATTCTTTTTTTTATTACTGAATATGATTTTGCAATTTATTTACGTAGTACGCAATTTGAACACAGCAATTTATGAATCGCAATTCACTTAAGATATAAGTGATATAAATGTATATAAAACTAAAATAATCATCCGAATTGTCTAATTTATCTTAGCTACTTAATTTTCCAGTATTATTCTTTTTCAACTTACTACGAATAAGTGAATACTCTGCTATATAATTTGTGTAATTGTTTCGATAAGAAAATCGATAACAGACGCAAGAAAAACGACAAATTCTAAAAGTTTTGAAGCTTTAATGACATTAAATTATTTCCTTTTATTACAGTTCATTCTACAGAAAACAAAATCGATTTCTCATATATTCGGCTAATTCTTGAATTTATTATTCTCATAACTCGTAGAAGAGAAAAAAAATTTTCTTTCAATGAAGTCCCGTTTGATAAAGGATTGACAAATTGTGTATTTAATTAAAAAAATATTGTGAATAAGAAAAGAGTTATATTTTATTGTTTTTTTTTTTTTTTTATATGAAATCGATAATTTCATTAATTATGAAAGGGTATAAGGAAATAAACATTTTTCTTGCTATAAATAATACTTTCTTACGTATATTACGTTCTATTGCGTATATTGCGTATATTGCGTATATTATTTGTTTCCGCCACAATATGAGAAAATGAATCTTATTGTACTCATTTCATGTACCGCACAATAAAAGATTTTCATCATTGCGGATGTATTATACAAGAAAAAAAAACGCATTTATAAAAAAATTATATCATGAATTTCATTTTCACATTTAACATAGAAATAAACGAATGATTGTTTCGTGTAAGAAATGCATGGAAGAAGGCATTTTGAATAATGAAGATTTGTTGACAGTAAAAAATATTGGATCTATCATAAATCTAGTTTATATATATATGTTTGTTGATGAAGTATAATAATAGAGGTAAAAAAAGGCTTATTTAACTCCAGCAAATATTATTCGTTTATGTAAGATTACATTAATTGTAAACACCAATTATTGTAAAAAAAAAGGAAAAATACTTGTGTTATTACTGAATTACATTAGAATTTCCGATATCGTTTAAACAACATTGTGTAAAATTTGCAAATGATATATATCTACTTAGACGTCAAAAAGTTTTGAAATTAATATTAGAAGAGAGAAATATTACGACTTTGGATTATAAAACAAATGTTATTTCATTTTGAAAATATGATAAGAAGATTCTTTCTTTAGAATTCATGAAATATATAAAATTTTAAATTTTATCTCTAACTGTATAAATTCTTGGATACGATAATTATATAAATATTTAAATGAGGTGTACAAATTGATAAATTCGATTTCAATTTCTTTATATCGATAATTTATTCAAATATAAATTAGTTTTTAATAATTAAAATAAATAAGGTGCAACGGAGAATCAAGAGAAAAATACATACAACAATATACAATAAAAAGCAATACAAAAGCATTTGATCGATTTTCTTAGAGTTCTTCTAGATAATATAATTTCTCTAATTTGCAATGATAAGTTTACCAATTTAAATTCCAAGAAATAATAAATCCTTTCAAATTTTATATTTCATCAATAATTCTTATTGCAATTAAGTAGTATTCATCTTATTATTACATTTTATATATTTTGATAATTTTTATAAATAATAGAATAATTTATTTCAGAATAGAATTCGATAGCTCTTATATTTAACGTAGAAGAATTTCGAAATCTATTACAATGTAAAAGAATTTCGAAATAGATAATTATCAGATCAGTCAACTAATAAGAAAAATATAAAAAATTTGGGAAAAAGAAAAAGAACATAATTCAGTGAATAGGTAATTAAAAACTTAAGTAATCGTACATTAATTTATTAATATAATTCGTTAAATATTTTTTATAATTATAAGGATATTAAGAAAATATATCATGTCATGAATAAATCTTTTTCCTTTTGATACTTGAATGTTTAGAGATTTAGGATTTCTTTTATTGTTTTATATTTTTCAAAACATATCATTAATTTACTAAATTTTAGATGTATGTTGGCATCAGCTACAATAATAAACAGTAATTAATAAATATTAAATATTATAATACAATCAAAATTTTATATAGTAATTAAAATAAATAATATACAAAGAATTGTATTTTTTCAATAATAATTTTTTACTTACAAACAGATGAACATTCGGAGACTTATTGCAATTAAGTAGTATTCATCTTATTATTACATTTTATATATTTTGATAATTTTTATAAATAATAGAATAATTTATTTCAGAATAGAATTCGATAGCTCTTATATTTAACGTAGAAGAATTTCGAAATCTATTACAATGTAAAAGAATTTCGAAATAGATAATTATCAGATCAGTCAACTAATAAGAAAAATATAAAAAATTTGGGAAAAAGAAAAAGAACATAATTCAGTGAATAGGTAATTAAAAACTTAAGTAATCGTACATTAATTTATTAATATAATTCGTTAAATATTTTTTATAATTATAAGGATATTAAGAAAATATATCATGTCATGAATAAATCTTTTTCCTTTTGATACTTGAATGTTTAGAGATTTAGGATTTCTTTTATTGTTTTATATTTTTCAAAACATATCATTAATTTACTAAATTTTAGATGTATGTTGGCATCAGCTACAATAATAAACAGTAATTAATAAATATTAAATATTATAATACAATCAAAATTTTATATAGTAATTAAAATAAATAATATACAAAGAATTGTATTTTTTCAATAATAATTTTTTACTTACAAACAGATGAACATTCGGAGACTAATTGATTAACATTATTTTCGTCCAGATATACTTTCATTATTTCCCTAACTACATTTTCATTAAAGTTTCCGCTCTCATCAACCTGTTGCCAAAAAATGATAATAATTTTTTCTTATTTTATACACATGTAAAATTATATTTAAATAATTTTATTATTTATACTAACAGTGTTGAATTTGTTTATTATGCACTGAGAGTAGAGTTGAGCTATCTCATCTTCTACATCGAAACTGCCTTCATGAACGTCATTTGCTTTTTCTGAATTTTAAATAAAGGAATTAATAATAATATCTATATATTCCATAATCAAAAATATTATTTTTTACAATTTTTTCCTTTTTTGCAACTTACGTTCATCAATGCCAGATTCTGCTTTACAAGTTTGCTGAACATCACGTAGTTGGGCTTTCAATTCTTCAATTGTCTTAAAAAAAATATTAAAATATATTATTAGTAGTTTTATATATTAATTAAATAAAATATTTTAAGAATAATTACAAATATTTATATATTATTAATTAATTCTTATTTTACATAATTATTTTTAAAACTTTTTTTTAAAACATATATATATATTGTTTAAAAAATCTTCTATTCATTTTAAATATTAATAAATTTTTTGATAATAATCTCTTTATATATAATATCGTAATAACGTAATGATAGTATAATGAATTTGAAAATTGTTAGCTTCAACCTGTGCTAACAAAGTTCTAAAGAACAATCAAGAACAATCTTCATATGCTAGTGAAGATTTACGTTCATAAGGCTGAATTCATAAGGTTCTAAATTTTTATTCGTTCCATTACAAAGTTTAAGAGTTCAGGAAGTTTAAAAGATTCTGAAATTAAGAAATTTCTGATTTTGAAAAAATTCTATCGAAAGCGTTGTAAAACCTTCTATGTATGTTTATCTCGGGAGATCGAAGATCTTCGAAGGAGCACAAGCAGCCAACAGTATCGTAGATCAATTCCCTAGTGAACGCCTGTCAACGCTAACGCAAGAAAAATTCTCAGAAATAGATTAAAAGGATATATTATAGTTCACAGAGTTTGCTGTTTCGAAGAAACTGATTTGTGAATATCTATAACAAGTCTTCTTAACAGGATAATGTCGACTACTGTTAAGATTGGCGTGGCTGGAAAATATCTGAAATCCTGATATCTTTTCACAAAAACGTATTTTCTTGTATCATTTCTTCAATATCTCAACAAACACTATCACTCGATTCAGATTACAAATAATATTATTCTTTTACATTTTTTGCTATTATATTATTCAAAACAAATATCTTCCAGGAATTTGAAAACAATACTTAATCGAAATAATTAAAAATTATAATATTCCGAACTTCATTTTCATGGAATAAAATAGGAAGCAAACAATACAAAAATTTATAATGATTAGAAAATTTATGTATTTATGAATAATTTAAATTTCAAGAGATGAAAAATAAATTCAACACAAGAATTTTATTTTAGAAAAAATAACGAATATAAATCGTTTCAGATATCAAATTTTCATAGTGGGAAAGATTCTTTTTTAGTTGTTAATTAATCATGATAGGAAAATACATTTGTTGTTTTTAAAGACGCAATACACTAATATTAAACATGTTTGAAACCAATGTTTTATCGGAAATATATTTATCGTTTAATTATTTTAAGACGAATTAATTATTATATAATTAATTAATTAGATAATTAATTAATTAGAGATAACAATTACATTTTTTTTATTATGTATACGTAAATAATTATATATCACTTTGGAACTTGCAAGAATTTTTAATATCATATAAGAATTAATGGAAAGTATCATTAAAAAATGTATCATAAAAATTCAATGTAGCAAATTTATATTAAAAAGGAAATAAACTATCGCAAAGATATAAGTTGTGACGATTACAATAAATATTTTCAAACTCATATAAAGATTTAAAAATGAGACTTAGAATTTAAATAAAGATGCTAAACATAAACTATGGTAAATGTGAATAAATTTGAACATTATTTGAGCATTTACCATTGCACCAACGCAAATGCAGAAAGCAAAAATAATCACGATAGTTTTCATTTTTCTTTTAAATATATTCGATTTCGAAGAAACAAGAATGCTTAAAGTACATCCAACAAGAACTGAACAAATATCGAATGTACGATGTGTTTTTATAGTATAATTATTATTAATTAATGTTTTTTTTACCTTGATAAATATTATCGTTCTCATAATTTCTGTTTCTCGATTATTAAAAAAAATGATATGCACATATCTTTATTGATGAAAATTCATTAATACTTGCCGGGTACATAACCGAATTATTCATGAGTTATAAAACAATATCTAAAAATTAAAAGTGAATATTAACCAAAGAAATATTTAATTGATTAATTTCTTTTTCTTATTTCTGAAATGATTATTAGATTATACAATGTTAGTACAATTTCATTTGTTTCCTTTCATTTTCTATTCTTTTCCAAATTAGTTTTCTATAAGAACTTAGAATATTTAAACAATTTTATTTATTAACGAATAATTTTTTGTTTTTAGTAAAAATTTTTGTTTTCGTATAAGTATATAGATCATAGACATCGGTATTCTGATTAACGTGAATTTTAAAGAAGAAATTATAAATTTTAATTTCGAAATATTATAAATAAATTTTCATAAAATCTCGTTCTGGCAACGACTTTTTACAAATATCTCCAGAAATTAAATATGGGAGGATATTATTTAAATTCTTATTCTGTATATCTTCAAAAATCATATCTGAAAATGATTAAAATCCATAAATACGTTAATTGGTTCATCAACGATTCTTCTTCTTCTCTTTTTTATACCGGATATGATTTTCCAATTCATTTATGCGTTTGATCACATAGCAATTTATGAATTTACTTATGGATATATATATGAATTTATATATGGATATATATAAAACTAAAATATACTTTTAATTTGTCTTAGCTATTTAATTTTGTAACATTAAAACATTCTTCAACTTACGAATGAATGAATAATTTGCTACAACTTAAGTAAATAATTATCTCGATTCGAAAATCATCGGTAAGAAATGCGAGAAAAGAAGGGAATTCTAAAAATTTTGAAATTTTAATTAACAGGTATTAAATCAAATTATTTCTTTTTGTTGCATAATTCATTTGTTCCAAGGAACAAAATTGATTTATAATACATTCGGTTAATTTTCGATTTTGTCTTATTTCTTGTATATAAAATAGAAAAAAAATAAAAATTTTTTTGTAATAAATATTGCTAAATTTGATAAATTGTGTATGTAATTAGAAAAATATTGTAAATAAAAAAAAGTAATACTTCATTTTTTTATGTAAAATTAATATACGTATAATTATGATTAATTTCATTAATTAATTGAAACACTGTAAAAAAACAAACATTTTTTTTTTATTATAAATAATACTTCGTTTTATTGCGTATTATTTTATTCCGCAACAATATGAGATAATCTTATTATACTCATTTTATGTACTGCGCAATAAAAGATTTTCATCATGCGAACACATTATACAAGAAGAAAAAACGCATTTATAAAAGAATTATATCATGAATTTCATTTTCACGATTAACGTAGAAATAAACGAATGATTGCTTCGTGTAAGAAATGCATGGAAGAAGGCAATTGAATAATGAAGATTTGTTGACAGTAAAAAATATTGGATCTATCATAAATCTAGTTTATATATATATATGTTTGTTGATGAAGTATAATAAAGGTAAAAAGGTTTATGTAAATCCAGCAAATATTATTCGTTTATGTAAGATTACATTAATTGTAAACACCAATTATTAGTAAAAAAAAAAGGAAAAATACTTGGGTTATTACTGAATTACATTAGAATTTCTGATATCGTTTAAACAACATTGTGTAAAATTTGCAAATGATATATATCTACTTAGACGTCAAAAAGTTTTGAAATTAATATTAGAAGAGAGAAATATTACGACTTTGGATTATAAAACAAATGTTATTTCATTTTGAAAATATGATAAGAAGATTCTTTCTTTAGAATCCATAAAATATATAAAATTTTAAATTTTATCTCTAACTGTATAAATTCTTGGATACGATAATTATATAAATATTTAAATGAGGTGTACAAATTGATAAATTCGATTTCAATTTCTTTATATCGATAATTTATTCAAATATAAATTAGTTTTTAATAATTAAAATAAATAAGGTGCAACGGAGAATCAAGAGAAAAATACATACAACAATATACAATAAAAAGCAATACAAAAGCATTTGATCGATTTTCTTAGAGTTCTTCTAGATAATATAATTTCTCTAATTTGCAATGATAAGTTTACCAATTTAAATTCCAAGAAATAATAAATCCTTTCAAATTTTATATTTCATCAATAATTATTATTGCTGAAATTAAAACTGCAGTTATATATTTCGATAATTTTTAAATTTTTAATAATAAATAATAGAATTATGTATTTCAGAATAAAATTCGATAGTTCTTAAATTTAATCTCTATTACAATCTATTACAAAGTAAAAGAATTTTGAAATAGATAATTACCAGATTATTGCTGAAATTAAAACTGCAGTTATATATTTCGATAATTTTTAAATTTTTAATAATAAATAATAGAATTATGTATTTCAGAATAAAATTCGATAGTTCTTAAATTTAATCTCTATTACAATCTATTACAAAGTAAAAGAATTTTGAAATAGATAATTACCAGATCAGACAAACTAACAGGAATAAAAAATTTGGAAGAAGGAAAAGGAATAGGCAACTAAAAACTTAGACGTTAAATAATCGTATGTTAATTTATTAATATAATTCGTTATTTCAAAATCATTATTCAAAATTATATTATTTATAATTCGTTAATTCTTTATAATCAAAGCAAGGAAATAAATCGTAAATATGAATAAATCTTTTGACAGGTGAATGTTTAGAGATTTATGATTTCTTTCATTGTTTTATATTTCTCCAAACACATCATTAATTTACTAAATCTTAAATATATGTTGGTATCAGCTACAATAATAAATATACGTCAATGTAATAAACACTGAATAATAAATAGTAAATAATTAAATCAAAATTTTATATAGTAATTAATATACATAATATATAAGAATCGTATCTTTTAATTAATAATTTTTTACTTACAGATAAGTGAACATTCGGCAATTAATTGATTAACATCATTTTCGTCCAAATATATTGACACTACATCTCTAACTACATTTTCGTTTAACCTTTTGTTCTCATCAACCTGTTGCCAAAAAGTTGCCAATAATTTTTTTTTATTTTATACATATGTAATATGTATTTTACATATTACGTAAAATTCTATTCAAATAATTTTATTATTTATACTAACTCCGTTGAATTCTTCTATTATGCATTTAGAGTAGATTTGAGATTTCACATCTTGTACATCGAAAGTGGCTTCATTAACGTCATCTGCTTTTTCTGAATTTCAAACAAAGAAATAAATAACAATATCAATATATATATTATCGATAATCAAAAATATTTGCTATTTACAACTTACGTTCATCAATATCAAATTCTGTTTTACAAATTCGCTGCACATAATGTAGTTTGATTTGCAATTCTTTAAGTGTCTGAAAAAAATATTATATATACAACATTATACATATAAATATATATTATAAGTAATTTTGTATATTAATTAAATAAAATATTTTTAAAAATAATTATTTCCCTATTAAATTAATTCTTATTATGCATAATTATTTTTAAAACTTTATACATACATATATTGTTTTAAAAATTTTATATTCATTTTAAATATTAATAAATTTTTTCTACTAATATTTTTATATATATATTGTAATGTAATATAATGAGCTTGAAAACTGTTAACTTCAACTTATTTCTGGAATAAGGATAATAATAAAAATAATTTATTGCAAAAGTGTGTGTTAACAAAGTTGTCTAAACGGTCAAGAACAATCTTCATATGCTAGTGACGATTCACGTTTATGGATGAATTCACAAGATTCTAAATTTTTATTCGTTCAGTTGCAAAGTGTAAAAGTTCAGAAAGTTTGTATCTAAAAATTCAGAAAAATGTAAAAGAATTAAGGTAAAAAAAATGTTGAACAAATTCTAATTTAAAAGATTCTGAGGTTATGAAAATTCTGATTTTGAAAAGGTTCTACCAAAATCTTCTGTTTATCTCGCGAAATCGAAGATCTTCGACAAGCAACAATATCGTAGATCAACTAGATCAACCCCTTGACATTCTCAACACAAGGAAAATTCCCAGAAATAAACTAACAGGATATATTATGATCCACAAAGTTTGCTATCTCGAAGAATATCTATAACAAATCTTCTTCAAACAGGAGTTCATGCACTCCAACCATGTATTTTTAACAAATATACAATTTCAAAGATCATCATTTCTCAAAAATTAATTATAAATAACAATTACATTTTACATCTTTTTTTTATTATATATAAATACGTAAATAATTATAATAATAATTATAAATAATCATTTAAACAATTATTTACATAATAATCATTTTGGAACTTGGAAGGATTTATAATGTTACATAAGAATTAACGGAAAGTATTATTATTAAATAAAAATTCAATGTAGCAAATTTATATTAAAAAGGAAATAAATTATCACGAAGGTATAAGTTGTTACAAATATTACAAATATTTTCAAAATCATACAAAGATATAAAAATGAGACTTAGAATTTAAATAAAGATGCTAAACACAAATTATGATAAATGTGAATAAAATTGAATGTTATTTGAACATTTACCATTGCACCAACACAAATGCACAAGGCAAGAAGAACCACGATAGTATTCATAGTTTTCATTTTTCTTTTGAATATATCGATTTCAAATAAACGAGATTCGAATGTGCTTGAAGTACATTCAACAAAACTGAACAAATACCGAATGTACGAAGTGTTTTTATAGTATAATTATTATTAATTAGTACATTTTTTTACCTTCATTATCATTATGATTCTCAGAATTTCTTTCTCTCGATTATTAAGAGAAATAATTGTATATATTTTTTTTGGATGAAAACTCATTAATACTTCCTGAGTATATGCCAAATTAAGCAATGATCAAACAATCATCAAGATCAATAACAAAAAATTAAAAATGAATGCTTGCCTAAAGCGAAAAGGAATATTCAATTAATTAATTTTTTTTTTTTGTTATTTCTGAAATATAAAGGGTGAAACGAAGGTTACTAGAATAATGAATTTTAATACAATTTCATTTAAGTAATCACTTATTTTATATTTCTTTTTCCATTCTTTTTAACTTAGTTTTCTTAATAACAGTTTAAAACATATTTGAAAAATCTTATTTACATTGAATTAATGTTATTACGAATAATTTTTTATTTTTAGTCAAACTTTTTAAATATATGAACTATAATATACATAATTTTAAGGAACAGACATCGACAACTGATTTGAATTTGAAATTTAAGGAAGACTATACTAATTTTAATTTCGAAATATCGAATAAATTTTCATAAAATCTCATTTTAATAATAAAAACAACGTTTTACAAATATCTCTATAAATTATATCGCATATTTTGTATATCTGAAAATGATTAAAATCCATAAACACATTAATTGGTTTAACAACTATTTTTCTTATTCTTTTTTTTTTACATATGATTTTGCAATTCATTTATGTAGCATGCATTTAATCACATAGCAATTTATAAATTCCAGTTTACTTAAGATATATGAATGTATATAAAACAAAAATATTCATCCAATTTATCTAACTTGTCTTAATTATTTAATTATTCTTCTTCAACCTACTACGAATGAGTGAATACTTTGCTACAACTTAAGTAAATAATTATCTCGATTCGAAAATCATTGGTAACAAACGCAAGAAACTAAAATTACAAATTTATATTAAAAAGGAATAATTTATTGTAAAGATATAAATTGCGATAATTGTAAATATTTTTAAAGATAAATATAAGTTATGCTAAATGTGGATAATTTTTTAAAAATATTTGAATCATTATCATTGCACCAACGCAAACGCAAATGATAGAAATAATCACAATCGTTTTCATTTTTCTTTCAGGTACATTCATTTCAAATAAACAAGATTCGAATGTGCTTAAAGTACATTCAACGAAAACTGAATAAATATCGAATATATGGCGTTTTTTTTTTTTTCCAATGAAAATTAATATTTTTCAAGTGCATATCAGATTATGCATCGATTATATAAAAATATCTGAAGAATAAAAGAAAATACTTATAAAAACCGATATAAAAAAGATTCGAATAAATAATTTTTTTTTTTTTATCTCTCAAATGATCATTTATTTCCTTTATTCTTTTCGTCTTCTTTCAAAATTAGTTTTACATAATAACATACATACAAAATATTTACATTATTATCTCTTAATGAAGTATTAATAAAATGTGGTAATTTTCATGGAATGCCAATAATAGCAACAACTTTTTATAAATATGTCTAAATGTAAATTAAGATTACATATATGGGAAAATATTGTTCGAATTATCGAGAATTCTTATTCTCTATATTTATATTTAAAAAATGATTAAAATCTATGAATACATTGATCGATTCATCAACCACTCTTCTATCCTTTTTTTTATATTGGATATGTTTTTGCAATTTGCATATTTATATGCGTTTGACCACTTTCTATTTCTAGCAATTTGTGATTCACAATTTATATATGAATATATTTAAAAATAAAATATTCATTCTATATATATATAACTTGTCTTAACTAATTAATTAATTAATTATTCTTCTTCAACCTATTTACGAATGAATGAATAATCTTTTATTATCTATGTATATAACAGTCTCGATTCGAAAATCATCAATAACAGACTGATTATCAAGAAAAAATACAAATTTTTAAAATTTTAAAACTTTTTAAAGCTTTAAGGGTATTCATCCTAAAAAACAAAATTGATTTATGAAAATTCGACTAATTTTCGATTTTTATAACTCGTGAACTATGAAGAGTAGAGAAAAAGACAAAAATTTTCTTCTAATAAAAATTTGATAAAAGATTCATCAATTGTATATGTTATTTATACTTGCGAGAATTAGAAAATTGTTATAAACAAAGAAGTTATGATTTTTTTAAATTTATTTTTTCACATGAAATCTTAATCGATAGTTAATTGTGAAAGTTTCATTAAAGAAACAAATAATTTTTTTTATTATAAATACAATCTTTATTTTTTATTTATTATGTTTTGCAACAATACATGAAAACTTTTGAATCACGTTGTATTTTATTTCATATTCCACGCAATGAAATAATATTTTTAATAAGATTTTTTATAAAAAATTATATCATGAATTTCATATTCGATGAAATAAATAAATGAGTATTTGTCTTTCTTGTGACAAATATAAAAGATATTTGATTAATGAAGATTTTTTGAAAAATTTGGAATTCATTGTATCGATCTATTATAAATCTAGTTTATATTAATACAACATATTTAAATTAACTGTGCAAGCTTATAATTTATTTTCAATTCCATATTTTTTATTTCGATAATTTGATATTTATTCTTTTTTTTTTTGTATGAGTTATTAATATATGGTTTATTAATATATATTTTTCCAAATATAAATTACTTTTTCAATTATTAAAATAAATGAGTTATAAATATGAATTGAAGAATCATATTTTAGAGAAAAATAAGTGATTAAATAGTATAAGGATACATCACTTATTAAAGATTAATTAATATATTTTATTAAATGATTGCTTGCTTGTACTTGTCGTTTTTGAGTTTAGTAATTGTATATAACCCAAACCTTAAAAGTAACATATTTCAGACACAATTGGCTCAGCGACAACTAGCGCCAACTAGTCGAGAAAATCTATAAGAGAATCTAATTGTAAACACGTTGTAGTCTGATATGTCAATTACGTAGTTTTATTCTAACATCACATTGTGCTCTGAACATGACTAGCTGCTGTGACATTATGAGAGATCCTGCTCTTTTATAGACTTTATGTAACCAATAATACATTCATCTTTAAGAAGTATTGTCGCTTGTTATCACTTGTTACGACATTTGTCGAAAGGTATTTAACAAATACCCTGTTATTAGCTCACGTCCACTATCATCATTACAATATTATTGTTGCGGGCACGAACAATTCATTTCCTTATAAAGTTTATTTTAGAATTGTAGTCAGAAATCAGGTAGGAATATCGTAATAAACGCGATAAACTATAACAAAACACAATGATAACCAATAGAAAAGGATTTGATCGATTTCCTTAGAATCCTTAGATAATATAATTTCTATAATTTATAATGATATAAGTTTATCAATCTAAATCGTAAGGAATAATAGATCTTTTTAAATTTTATACTTCATCAATGATTCATATTATAATTAAAACTACAGTTTTCATTTTATTATTACATTATTATTACATATTTTGACAATTTTTATTTAATAGTTAGAATTTTATTAAATAGAATAATTTATTTCAGAAATGGAAGATTACGAAGTAAAATAATTTGGAAATATGGAATAGATAATTAAGTAGCAGATTAGTCAATTAATAAGAATAAAAAAATTTGGAAAAACGAAAAAAGAAACATAATTCATTGGATAGGTAACCAAAAACTTAGACGTTAAATAATCGTATATTAATTTATTAATCTAACTCTTTAAATATTTTTTATAATCAAAGAGAAGAGAAATATATCGTGTTATAAATAAATAATAATTTATAACTAAATCTTTTTCCTTTTGATAGTTGAACATTTAATTATTTAGTATTTTATTCAATGTTGTATATTTCCCAAAACACGCTATTAGCTTACTAGATTTTAGATGCATGTTGGTATCAGCTAAAATGATAAATATATGTCGATGTAGTAAATTATAAATAATTGTATTTTTTCATTAATAATTTTTTTACTTACAGATAGATGAACAATCGGTGATTATTTTGTTAACATCATCTTCGTCAAAATATAATCGTGCTATTTCTCTGACCACAACTTCGTTTAATTTTCCATCATCGTCATACTGTTGCCAAAAAAAATGATAATAATTTTTATTTTATTTTATACATATGTAAAATTATATTTAAACAATTTTATTTCAATTTATACTAACAGCGTTGAATTTTTTTTATTAAACATTCAGAATAGAGTTGAACTTGCTCATCTTCTACATCAACGATGCCGTCGCGAATATTATTTTCTTTCTCTGAAATTAGAATAAAAAAATTAATCAGAAATATTATGATTCGTATCTCGTTTCATTATTTCCAATTTACGTTCATCAATGCCAGTTTCGATCTTGCAAATTGGCAACGTAGCACGTAGCCCAATTTTTAATTCTTCGAGTGTCTAAAAAAAGATGATTAAAATATATATTGTGAAAATAGTTTTTTATTAGTTATATAAAATATTTTCAAAATAATATTTAATAAACTGATTTTTATTAAATATATAATTATTCTTAAAATTCTTTGTACAAATATATTTGTTTTGATACATATACGTATTCTTCTAATTAATTTTCCATTCATCTTAAATATTAATAGATTTTTTTTATATTATCTTTATATATATATATATTTGTATAGTTATTGTATATATCATAATGTAATCATATAATATTAAGCTCAATAAAAACTATCGTTCGATTGAAATTAATAATAATATTCCACTATCTTCTGTTTAATTATTTAAAAATTATAACAATCTTTATTCTCTATCTTCACGATATGAAAATTTATAATTAATAAATAATAAAAGGGCAATAATACGATTGAAAAACTGATAAGGATTTTAAAATTAATATTATTTATGAATAAATCAAGTATAAAGAGATTAAAAGTAAATTCAACGTAAAAATTTTATTATAAAATGAGTAATTAATAACAAACGACATAAATGAAATATCAATCATTTCAGAAACCAAATTTTTCATTTAATAGTGAAAAAGTTTCTTTTATCTTAATCAATAAAATGAATAGTAAAATATAGTAAAAAATCTTGAATCTATTTATTTTTATTATTTTAATGTTTTACGTTATAAAATATTTGTCGTTCAATTCATCATTTCAAAATTAAAATTATCATTATTCCAAATTAATTATTTATAGTTTTATAAAATTCGGACATAAAATAGTTAATAATATTATATAAGAATTAAAAGGAAAAGTAGCGTTAAATATAAATTTAATGTAACAGGTTTATATTAAAAAGAGAATAAACTTTTGCAAAAATATAAAATATTGCAAATATTTTTAGACATAAATAAGAGGAAATAAAAATTAAAATTAAAATAAATAGAAATGTTAAATATAAATTGTGATAAATATGAATAAAATTAAAAATATTTGAACGATTACCAATGCACCGACGCAAACACAAATAGCAAAAATAATCACGATCGTTTTCATTTTTCTTAAAAATATATTGATTTCAAATAAATAAAATTCGAATGTTTTTAAAATATATCTAACAAGAGAACTAAACAAACTGAAAAAAATCGAATGCAGAACGTCTTTTTATACTCTATTTTTTACCTTCACTATTTCTCTCTCAGAATTTCTCTCTCTCTCTCTCTCTCTCTCTTTCGATTATTACAATAAATGATATTGCATATAATTTTATTAATAAAAATTCATGAATGGTTCTCAAGTACATATCAGATTATGTAAGTCGATTATATAAAAAGATTTAAAGATTAAAATTAAATGTTTATTAAAGCGAAATAATTTTTTTCTTATCTCTAAAATAAAAAGAGTAAAACGATTATTAATAATAAATGTTAATACAATTTTATTTAAATAATTATTTCCTTTCATTTTCCAAATTAGTTTTCTATAAAAATTTAGAATATTTAAACAGTTTTATTTATTAATGAACAATTTTTTGTTTTTATAAATATTTAGATCATAATTTTAATCATAATTTTAAGCAGACATTGATCTGATTAATAAAATTTAAGAAAGATCTTTTATTAAAATTTTAATTTCGAATATTAAATAAATTTTCATATAATGCAAAAACCTCAATCTAATAATTGCAACAATTTTTTTACAAATATCTCTATAAATTAATCACATATATTGTTTAATAGAATATTGTTTAAATTCTTATTCTCTGTAGCCATTTGAAAATGATTAAAATCTTTGAATACATTGATTGGTTCATCAACGATCCTTCTTATTCTTCTTTTACTTATATATGTTTATTTATATATACTTTTGCAGTTTATTTATATGGGTTTGATTATCCTTTTATATAATTCTTAATCATTCAATTCCTAAATCATGATTTACTTACGATATACGAGCATATATAAGAATAAAATGCTCATTCAATGTATAGCTGTTTAATTTCGTATTTGCATTATATTTGTTCAATTTATTACAAACGAGTAAATAAATAATAATGATGTTATATAACAGTATCGATTCGAAAATCATCGATCAAAGAGAGATTTCGAAAAATCATCTGTATTCTAGAAATTTTGAGATTTTAAAAATAATATATAATATATAGTATAGTATATAGTACATATGTAAATACAATAACGCAATTTTTTGATCGTTAACTTATTCTAAGAGTCAAGATTGATTCATGGTTCAAAATTCGATTAATTTTCGATTTTATATTGTAACTCGTGAATTGTAAGAAATGGAGAAAAAGTTTTCAAATAAAGATTGTTTCTTTTAAGGGGGGGAGGGATTGTTAATCGATAAAAGATTGTTTGTTATATAATTAGAAAATAGTTATAAACATAAAATTATTACTTTTATTAAATTCAGTTTTTCACAAATCTTCATCGATAGTTTTCATAATCATTTTTATAAATACAGAGAAACAACTATTTCTTTTTTTATTGCAAATACAAGTTTTGTTTTATTGTTTTTTTATATTTTGTTCCACAACAATCTTGAGGAAGAACTTCTGAATTTCATTGTACATGTCGTAACAGCAAATTTCCATACACATATATATTTCTTTTTGAATGTGTTGTACAAAGTGAAAAATCATCTATTCATGAATAAATCATATTATGAATTTTATTTTTGCATCTAACAATGGAATAATAGAATGATTATTGTCTTGTAAAAAAACCTTGAAATTTATTATATTTAACGATGAAATAAACGAATGATTACAAATATTAGAGGTTTTTATTTAAGACTTGTTAATAAATAAAAATTTGCTCACGTTTTGTAATTACTTGTAATATATTTATTATTTTTATTACCTTTATGTATTGATTTATACAAAATAAATCATTTGTATATTAAATAAAAATGATGATAAATTCAATGAATATTATTTGTTTATTCAAGATTATAGTTAATTGTGAATAAAAATAGAAAAGAAATAGATACATAATATAATAAAGAATATGATTATTGAATTGCAAATATAACATTTGGTTTTCAATTAAAATTGATGTTAGAGTTAATATTAGAGATTTTGATATCGTATGGATCATATTTTATATAATTTATGAAAACTGATAAGTAACCATCTGTACGGGAAGAATTTTTGAAAATGGTACAGGAATGTATATTTAGAAGAAATTATATTGTAAAGTTTTTATTTTATCAAAGTATTTTATTTTGAATGTATAATAAAAAAAATTCTTTCTCTAAATAAACCGCACAACATTCTTGATATCTAAATAATGAAATAATCTTGCAAACTTTCAAATTCAATTCTAATTTAAAAAATGTTTTTTATTTTTCTAAGCATGAATATGTTTTTTTTTAATATTATAATTTATATCTTTTCGCAAGATATAAATTATTTTTCTATCATTAAAATAAATGAATTTTTATAAATATAAATTATACATAAACAGAAAAAAATAAAACAACGTTTAAATTTCACTTAATTCATAATAAAAGAAAATTAATTACATCTTTATTCATTTTCTTAAAAAATTTATTTAAAATTTAAATATAATCAGAAATCAGGGAAAATTAATATAAATCAAAACGCATTTGATCGATTCCGTTGCATGTGCACCTAAAATCGAAAACATAATTTCCATAATCAATCATATTTAAGTCTCTTAGAAGAAATGATAAATCTATTTTACTATTATTTCATCAATGATCCGCAATGCACCTGAAATTACAGTTTTAATCTAAATAAAATATTATATATCTTGATAATTTTTATAAATAACAGAATAACTTATCTTAGAATAAAATTCGATAAAATTTCTCAATGTAAAAGAATTTCGAAAATAAATAGATTACGAAGTAAAAAAATTTGGTAATAGATAATTACGTGCAACATCAGATAATAAAAAATAAAAATTTAAAAAAACGGAGGAGCATAATTCAATAGATAGGTAAGCAAAAACTTAAACACCAAGTTAAGTAACCGTACACCAATTTATTAATAAAAGTTTTCAAATATTTTTTAATCAATTAAAGTACATTACATTATTCAATTGAAATAAAAAGTAAGCATTCTGAATAATCCTCTTCTTTTTGATAGTTGGAAATATTTACAAATTTAGTACATCATTTACTGTTTTATATTTAAAAAAACATTGTAATATCTTACTAATTTTTACATGTACATTGGCGTCAGCTGTAAATGTAAAAAACGTAAAAAAAGAAAAAAAAAACAATAGTAAATAATTTATTCAAAGTTTTATGTAATAATTAAAATATAATAATCATTAATAATTTTTTACTTACAGATAGGCGAACATTCGGCAATTAATTGCTCAACCTCATCATCGTTTAAAACTGCACTGGCAACATTTCTAGCAACTTTTTCGTTGAAATTTCCATTGTCGTCAACCTGCCATAAAAAATAAAATAATCTTTTTTATATTTTTTTTATATTTTATATATATCTATGCATGCGTATAAATCTATAAATAATAATAACTGTTTATACTACTAACAGCACTAAATTTTTTCATCGCACATTCAACGTATGATAAAACATTTTCGTCACTTAGGTTGATCTTGCCACTATTAACATCGTCTACTATTTCTGAAATTCGAATTAAAAAAATTAATCAGAAATATTATAATCTGTATTTCTTATTTCCATTATATAACTTACGTTGATCAACACCACTCTCTGTCTTACAAAATGACTGCGTGATACGTAGCGCGTTTTGTAATTCTTCAAGGGTCTAAAAAAGGGTCACATTAAAATCTATATAAATCTATCTATAATGAAAATAACATTATATATGAGTTAAATAAAATGGTTTTAAAATAATTATTTATTTGTTAAATTAATTTTTATTAAACATAAACTTATTTTTAATTATATATATAATTATTCTTTTACAAATCTTTCATTTATCTTAAATATTAATAAAGTTATTTGTAAATAGTATATTTATTTATAGTATTATAACGTAATCAAAGTAATCAACTCGAAAACTATCGCTTAATTCAAATTAAAAATAATATTCTATCGTTTTTGCCAATTACATTTAATTATTCAGAAACAGATATCTCTCAGAAAATTTTTATTATCGAAATAAAACAATGCGTTAGCAAAATTGATAAAGATTGTGAAATTAATCTACTTATGAATAAATATAAAGAGATCGAAAATAAAACCAACACAAGAATTTTATTGAAAAAAAAAAAAAAATAATAAATAAGAAATGACAATATAAATCACTTCAAATATCACATTTTTTATTCATAGTGGAAAAATTGATTATAATAGGAAAATACTTTGATATGGATGACACAATAAATTAATATTTTTGAACATTTTTGAAACATGTTTTATCGAAAATATATTTAACGTTTAATTTTTTAAATTTTATGATTAATTAAAATTACTAAATTAGAAATAATTACTTTTATATTATTTCTAATTAATTATTTATTTACTTTGTAAATGTATTACTTTATACTGAAATGTAGTAGAAATGTTGTTGTTAAATATAAATTTAATGTAACAAATTTATATTAAAAAGGAATAATTTATTGTAAAGATAAAAGTTGCAATAATTATAAATATTTTTAAAGACATAAATATTGAAGTGAAAGTTAAAATTTAAATAGAGATGCTAAATATAAATTATGCTAAATGTGGATAAAGTTAAAAATATTTAAATTTAATCGTTACCAGTGCACCAACACAAACGCAAATAATAGAAAAAATCACAATCGTTTTCATTTTCTTTTTTTTTTCAAATATATCGATTTCAAATAAACAAGATTTGAATATTCTTGAAATATATCCAGAGAACTGAACAAACATTGAATATGCCACGTCTTTTTATACTGTAGGTAGGTTATATACTGCTTCCATCTTAAAATTTCTATCTCTTTTTTAATAAAACATTGTACATATTTTTTCTTGTTTCTTTCAATACGAAAAATAATATTTCTGAAGAATATATCGGATTATGCATCGATTATATAAGAATATCCGAAGAATAATATTTCTGAAGAATATACTAGGAAATACTAATTAAAGCGATAAGAAATGTTTGAGTAATTAATTTTTTCTAATTTAAATAATTTAAATTAACCGTACTAAAAACTGCAAACTAACCGTAAAATCAAATTTCAATTTTAAAACATTTTTTTTAATAATTTTTTATTTCTCTTTTAGGTATGAATATATTTTATTAATATCTTTTGCCAGCTACAAATTATTTTTTAATTAATCAAATAAAAAATATTATTAAAATAAATGAATTTTTATATGAATATGAATTACATATAAACAAAGAAATATAAAACGGCGTTAAACCTCACTTAATTAATAGTAAAAGAAACTAATTACATCATTTTGTAATTAAATGTTATTAACTCATTTTCTTATAAAATTTATTTCAAATTTAAATATAAGTCAGAAATCATCAATGACACGAATATTATAATCATAATAGATGATAATAATAAAGGATGAAAATTAATATAAACGATTGGTTTTGGACCAATATTTGACCGATTTTTCTAGTGTGCCTAGAACTAAAAACATAATTTTCATAATTTAAAATAATAACTTAATCAATATTATTTAAATCTCTTAAAATGATAAATCTATTTTGTACTTTATTGATAATTCTTATTGCATCTAAAATTATAATTTTAATCTAAAAATATTATATATTTTGATAATTTTTATAAATAATGAAATAATTTATTTTAGAATAGAATTCGATAGTTCCCAATTGTAGAAGAATTATGAAAAAAAAAAAAATTACGAAGTAAAAAAGTTTGGAAAAACGGGGAAGCATAATTTAATAGATAGGTAATCAAAAATTTAAACACGTTAAATAACCATACACCAATTTATTAATAAAAATCTCCAAATATTTTTAATTTAATCAATTATTAATTGATTTAATTAATTCAATTAATTAAAGTAAATTAAATAATCAATTAAAATAAAAAAATAAATACATCGTATTCTGAATAGATCTTTTCTTTTTAATAATTGAACATTTAGCCATTTAGTATTTCTTTTAATGTTTTATACTTCATTAAACACTGTAGTATCTTAGTCATTTTTATACGTACATTGTCATCAGCTGTAATGATAAATTTAAAAAACAATAGTTTAAATAATTTATTCAAAATTTTATGTAGTAATTAAAATACATAATATATGAAGAGAATTGTATTTTTTCATATAATATTTTTCACTTACAGACGGATGAACAATCCATGATGACTTTATTAACTTCATTTTCGTCTAAATATATTCTTATTATTTCTCTGATTACATTTTCGTTAAAATTTCCGTCCTTGTCAACCTATTGTCGAAAAATAACAATAACTTTTTTTAATATTTCTATACATGTATATAATTCTTTTCAAGTAATAATACTAGTTATAATACCAACACCACTGAATTTTCTCATCGTGCATTCAATGTATGATAAAACATTTTCGTCATCTATATTGATGTTGTTTTCATTAACATCATCTACTATTTCTGAAATTCGAATAAAAAAATTAATTAGAAATATTATTATCTGTATTTCGAATTATTTGCAAATTACGTTGATTAATGCCAGTTTCATCTCTGCACACTGCCTGTCCAAGACGTAGTATCACTTGAAATTCTTTAATCGTCTAAAAAATTAAAATATACTATGAAAATAACTTTATATATGAATTAAATAAAATGTTTTAAAATAATTATTTATTCATTAAATCAATTTTTATTAAACATAAACTTATTTTTAATGTACAAATTATATATATATATAATTTATATATAAATACATTATAAATACATTATATATATATATATATATTCTTTTACAAATCTTCCATTTATCTTAAATATTAATAAAGTTGTTGGTATTAGTCAGATTAAAAATAATATCCATCGTTTTTGCCATTAAATTTAATTATTCAGAAACAGATATCTCTCAGGAAGATTTTTAATCGAAATAATTAAAAATTATTACAAATTTTTATTATCGAAATAAAACAATACGATCGTAAAATTGATAAAGATTGTAAAATTAATATAAATGAATATAAAGGGATCCAAAATGAATCGAATACAGAAATTTTATTGTAAAAAAAAAAAAAAATAAGAAATAACAAATGACAATATAAATCGATTCAAATTTTTCATTTTATATTGCAAAAGATCCTTTTTTGATTAATCGTAATAGGAAAATATTAGACACAATATTTGAACATGTTTGAAACCAATATATTTTACTAAAAATATATTTATCATTTAATCATTTTAAAACTACTTGAAAATAACTAAAATTGCTAATTACTATTATTCCTAATTAATTATTTCTTATTTCAAAAATAATTCGCAAACTCGCAAATGTCAAAGGCTTAGTAATATTATAATTTAAAAACTAACGAAAAACTAATGAAAAAGTCGTAATAAAATAAAAATTATAAATATAACAAATTTATATTAAAGAGGAAATAATCTATTGAAAAGTTAATTAGTTGTGACAATTGAAAATTTGAAATAAAAGTTAAAATTTAAATCGAAATGTTAAAATAAATAATTATATTAAATATGGATAAAATTGAACATTTACCATTGCACCGACGCAAGCGCAAATAGCGCAAATAATTATGATAATTTTCATTTTTATTTTAGATGTGACAAAATAAACAAGATTCGAAATACATCCAACGAGAACTAAACAAGTATAGAATGTTTGACGTCTTATATACTATTATTATTGTTATCTTATCTCTCTTTAATAATAATTTATTTTAATAAATGATATTGCGCACATTCTTTATGAATGAAAATTTAATAATAATGTTTCTCAGTATCAAATTATGCATCGATTGTATAAAAAGATGATGTGAAGATTAATATTAAAGCGAAAATAATTATTTAATTAATTTTTATGTGATATAATTTCTTGAATAAGGACTTGTTTATAATACATGAATAAATTAAAATATCATTTATTTATTCCATATCTCTTGTCTTGATTTATTTACTTATTTACTTACTTAATTTTGTATCATTCGTTATTATTCATTATATCGTATATTATTTTACTTTATTCTATGAATGAATAAATAATCTTCGATAACGAAGTATCAAAGAGAAATTTCTAATCACCTGTATTCTAAAAATTTTGAAATTTTTAACAATATGTTAAGTAAATATGTAAATATGTAATATAATGTAATTTTTTGCTTGTCCTAATTTATTCTAAGGATTTATGAAATTGATTTATGATTCAAAATTCGATTAATTGTTGTCAATTTTGTGTTGTAATTCGTGAACTGAAAGAAATAGAGAAAAAGTTTTCAAAAATTATTTCTTTTGATGGAGGGATTATTAATCGGTAAAGGATCGTCTAATTGTTTATATAATTAGAAAATAGTTATAAATGTATTTATAAAATTATTACCTTTTATTAAAATCAATTTTTCACAAATCTTCATCGATAGTTTCCATAATGAAATATAATTATGAATATAAAGGAACAATTACTCTTTTTATTGCAAATACAAGTTTTGTTCTTTTCCTTTTTTGTATTTTGTTCTACAAAAATCTGATTCAAAAACTTTTGAATTTCATTGTATTTGTTTCGTAACAAAAAATTTCCATACACATATGTATCCGATTTGAATATATGTGTTATATAAGACGAGAAAAACCATGTATTCATAAATAAATCATATTATGAATTTCATTTTTGCAATATCAATTCAATTTTGCAAATCATTTTAACAATGAAATAATAGAATGATTACTTTTTAAAAAAATAAAATTTATTACACTAACGATGGAAACAATGAATGATTATAAATCAATAGTGTTAGAGATTTCTGTTTAAGATTTATGTTAACAATAAAAAATTTGGTTTTCTTTAATATTAATAAAAGTTTTAATACTTATAATTTATATCAAAAATATTTGTTTATTTAAGATTATTCTAATTGTAAAAAAGAATAATGATAATAATAATAATAATAATAATAAGATATTAATTAATGTAAAAAGAAATGGAATTATATAATATAATATGAAGAATATGATTATTAAATAGCATTTCGTTTTCAATAAAAACTGATGTTAGATATTAGAAATTTTGATATTGTTTATATCGCATTTTATAGAATTTATAAAAAATAATATACTCATCTATATATAAAAAAACTTTAGGAAATGACTGAATAGGATTGAATATCAGAAGAAGATATTATGATTTTAGATTATGAAACAAATATTTTATTTTTAAATTATAATAAGAAAATTCTTTCTCTAAAATCCATGGAATATATAAATTTTGGGAAATTTTATCTAATTATATAAGTAAGGCGCACATGATTTATACAGCTTTCTTGATTTCTAAATAATGAAATAATTCTATAAATAATTTGAATTAACTTGTGCAAATTGTCAAATTCAATTCCAATTTTAAAAATTTTTTTAATTTTATCTTTTTGATATTAAAAAATATGTTTCTTTGATATCTTTTGCAGATATAACTTATTCTTTTAATTGATAATAAAAAGAAGTTAATTACATCTTCATCATTAAATCAATTTTATTTTCTTATAAAATTTATTTAAAATTTAAATGTAATCAAATATCATACACGAATATTATAATCATAATAAATGATAATAAAACACATATGATAATAATACACAATAATAAAAACCAATATAAATTTGACCAATTTTCCTAGTGCACCTAGAGTTGAAAATATAATTTTTCTATAATCTATAATAATAACTTAATCTCATTTAAGTTTCTTGAAATGATCTATTTTGTACTTTATCAATAATCTGTTTTACAATTAAAATTACAGTTTTAATCTAAAATATTACATATCTTGATAATTTTTATAAAAAACAGAATAATTTATTTCAGAATAAAATTCGATAGTACTCAATTTTAATATAGAAAAATTAAATAGGTAAAATTAAAAACTTAAACACGTTAAATAATCATACATTAATTTATTGATAAAAGTTTTCAAATAATTAAAATAAATAAAATAATCAATTAAAATAAAAAGTAGGTATACATTATGCTGAACAAATCTCTTGCATTTAATAGTTGAACATTTAGGAATTTAATATATCATTTATTGTTTTATATTTAAAAAAACATTGTAATATGTTACTAATTTTTAGATGTACATTGGCATCATCTATAATAACAGAAATACATCAATGTAAAACAATAATAAATAATTTATTACACAGTTTAATGTAATAATATAATAATGTAATGAAAATACATAATGCATAAAGAATTGTATTTTTTCATTAATAATTTTTTACTTACAGATAGGCGAACATTCGGAGACTAATTGATTAACTTCATCGTCATTTAAAACAGCTCCCACAACATCTCTGGTGTATTTTTCCATAAAGTTCCCATACTCGTCAACCTGTCACAAAAAGGACAATTTTCTTATATCTTAATTTTCTTATATCTCTATACATGTGTATAATTCTATTTAAATAATAATATTATATTTATACTAACAATATTAAATCGTTTCATCATACATTCAACGTATAATTGGACATTTTCATCTTCTACATAGACAATGCCATTATTAATATCATCTATTATTTCTGAAATTCAAATTAAAAAAATTAATTAGAAATATTATTATTTGTATCTCGTTTCCATTATATGCAATTTACGTTGATTAGCGCCAGTTTCTGTCATGCAAATTGGCTCCGCAGTAAGTAATTCGCTTTTTAATTCTTCAAGGGTCTAAAAAAGACATTAAA